TAAATGATGCTACAATGAACATTGGAGTACATATATCTTTATGGATGAATGTTTTCAGATTTTGGGGGCAGATACCCAAAAGAGGGATTGCTGGGTCATAGGGTAATTCTATTCTTAATTTTTTTTTTTTAAGATTTTATTGGGGAATTGGGAGAGGGAACAGCGTTGGGGAATCGGGGAAGGGGGAAAGACATGTTGCTGTCCTTTTGTTCTTCAGTCTAAGTGTGGTATAATTTCTTCTTGAGAACTTTCTATACATTCCTTATTCTATGTAATGATCAAATATTCCCTTAATAAACAATAAAAAAATAATTATTTTTTTGAACTTTCTCTTCCTGAAGGATGGTAACTGTTATCTTAAAGGGGAAAAGCTGTTAGAGATGAAACCTTGAAATTACAAAATGTTCATTAAGGTATCTAGCTCCAAAATATGCATTATTAATTTAGAAGTGTTGACATATTAATGAATGTGACTTAATTCATAATTTGATGTATTCAGGCATTGATGTATTTAAATTGTCTATATTTGTTGAGTTCCACTTAGTAGTGTCAGTGTACAAACACATCAGTTGTGGTAGGGGACATCATAGAATAAAAACTCTTTTCACCTCTGCCAAAGATACCTCCCTGCCCTTAACCTCTTTCTTACTATTTTATAGCCCTGCTTTTTAGTGGAAGCAGGGAGACCTAGTTAGGGGAAGGTTAAGTTATAGGATACAGGGACCATGTACAGCACTGTCTCTGTCCCTTACACACCTGAGAAGAAGCTGACTGTGGGTCAGGGTTCTGCTCATAGGGCAGGGGGTGCAGGAAAACAGGGATGGGCTGTCTTGCAGAGCAAATAAACTCACCAGAGCTGGGAACGTCCCTCCTCCATCCAGGCACAAGACACTGATGAGAGAGGATCAGTGTCCACAGCTGAGCTGCACAGAAGCCTTCAGACATTCTCTGAAGTTTTATCAGCCGTGGCACTACTGACGGTTTGGCCCAGATAATCTTTTGTTATGGGGTCTGCTTCTCACTGTAGGATGTTCAGCAGCATTCCTGGCAGCATGCCGAGGTGCCGGGACCATTTCCCTCCCCCCAACTATAACAATAAAAAATGTCCCAGACATTGCCACATGTCTCCTGTGGGGCACAGTCACCCCCAGTTGAGAACCACTGCTGGAGACTGTGTCAGCCAATCAGTCATCAGCAACCCCAAAACCCATGCACTAGCAGCAATTGAACGTGTGATCTAGTTAAAACCCAAACAGTGATCGTTTTTATTAGTATTTTTATACTTTTTTCCCATAAGTATCTTCTCTTTGCTAGCATATTGATAAATACATTTTGACAGCCCACCATCCCATGTGGGAGTTGAACTGGAAACCTTGTTCCTAAGAATGTACGCTCTAACCACTGAGCCATTCAGCCACCCTTCGGCAGCTCAGGGCAGCTCAGCGCAAGGTGCCATGTTCAGTCTTAGTTGCAGGTGGGAGTAGCCCAACATCCCATNCTGAAAATTACTTTGGGTCAAATGCATGGCCTGTAATTGAAATTTAAGAATTACTCATAGATTCAAAATTAGAAACAATCTAAACTGGAGCCTTATTGTTACCCTATTGGCATTTTTTTTGTCTTGAAGATGGCCCCTCTAGAGCTGGGTAAGCTTTGGAAATAGAATTGAGTTCAGTCACTTGGACAAACATTTACTGAGCACCTATTGTGAGCCAGCAACTGTAGAGGATAGAAACCCAAATGAGAAGTGATTCTTGACATTTGTGACCCAAAGTTATTTTTATAACTGAGTATCTTCAGGGATAAAAAATAAAAAAATTAAAAAAAAGAGTAATCTCTTTGGGGGCCCTCTTTTTTACCATAAAGCCAAGTATAAAACATCGTATTAAACATCAACCTTTAGGATTATGGGAGTTCTAGAAATGTACCATATAATTTCAGGGCAGCATGACATGGTGCTACAAGGATTGGCAGATGTGTGACACTGGCTGGCCTTCAGGGAGAAAGACGCAAGAGTCCTAGTTACTGACCTGCTGCTGACCGGCTGTGTACTGGGACAAGACTTTGAGATTCTGTTTTTCTGTTATTTACCATGGGACTGCCATCATCAGCTCACCCTGTAAGCCTTAGGTACTTCATTATCACAAGGTAGCTGCATGTAGAGTATGCAGTGGAAGCACTGACATCTCTCCACAGTGCCCTCTGCTCTCACTGCCTGTCCCACAACCAGGACTCGAGCTTGAATCCGTGTCACCAAGCTGGCAGGAAGAGTAGCTCACTCCGTAGCACTTTGAAACCCTGGTCTGTGGATCTTCTCGAGTTCCGTTTATCGCTTACCGTCCTTCCTCCCACCCAGTGTATTCAGTGTCCTGTATCATTTCTGTATTTGCCACTCCTGCTGCTTTAAAGTTTCTTAACAAGACACACAATTCCTACGTGCTCTGAGCCCTGCTACCCTCCACAGCCTCATTTTGTGCCACTTCCTGTGTTTGCTCCATCCACGTTGAGTGTCTCTGAGTTCTTTCCCATCTCAGGTGGGCTGCCTTGGCTGCACTGTTCCTTCCCTGGGAACCCACTCCCCACCCCCTACCAAGTTCTAATCATGATTCACATTTCAGCTGAAAACTACTTTTTTTGAAGAAAAACTAGCTTAGTTGCTTCTGTTATTTGCCCTCTCAGCACCAGATTCTTCAAAGAATTTGTACACTGCTATTTATTTAGCTAATTGATTTATAACTATGAATGTCTCCTTTCTCATTAGAGTAGATTTTAAGAGCCGAAAGTGTGGAAACTTGTCTATTTTGCTCATCACTTTTTCTCCCGTGCCACACACACTGCCTGGCACGTGCTAGGTGCTCAGTAAATATTTGCTACCTGACTTTTTAATCACCTTTGAAGTGATGGATGATAGTATGTTAATTTCTACTTCTCCCTAACATATAGATGCCCAATACAAGCTTATAAACTAATATGTAAATGATGTACTATTCTAGATTGTGTCTGTTTCAAAAAAAAAAAAAAATGGAGTCTTTAAAAAAACAAAATTAAGCCCTGCTGTTCTCACAGCCGAGCTCTCTCACGATTGAGCAGCGTGCACTGAATAAAGTTCTCTTCTTCACCGCAAAAAAAACCATAACAACAACAACAACAAAAATTAAAGCAATTATATTCGATAGTGTATATATTCACTTAAAAAAAAAAAGCTAGGGCTATCCCAAGGCTAACTGGATTAATAAAGCAATTTAAATATTTGGGGCCCATTCTTTGTTGAGCTATATTTATGAAAACCGTCCACTTAAAGAGATCCTAATTTTTTCCCCCTACCTTGCCTTCCTTTTTAGGTATTTTTTTTATATGGTAAAGATGTTTTTAATATGCATAATGGCTATCTAGTGCATCTTCCTTATTGTTAGGTCATAGCCTATTATAGTTCTATTTGTAGGTGTTATATTAGGAAGCCAAATCCATAAGGAGCTATATCCTGTAAGAAAGGGAAATTATTTACCTGATGGAATGTTTCCTTAGAGAACTGATGACAGGCAACCTCGAGGCTTGGTACAGACCAACCAGGCTTGTTTCTGGCTTCCAAACAGGGGTAGTTATATGTCTCATAAATGTGAAACCTTGCTAAGGCGTTCCCTTTGTGAAAAGCCAAAGCTCATAAGGTCTGGAAGCAGCTGNTTTCTAGAATGTTACCTTTATCACATCACTTTTTTAGCTGAAAAACATCCAGTGCTCTCCATTGCCCATAGGATAGGTGCTGTTTCTCAGGCAGACACTGAAGGCCCTTCCTAATATGATATCAGTCTGTCTTTGCAACCTTGTCCTCTGTACTCCCAGCAAAAACCATCTGCTTCAGTAAACGCAGTCTACCCTTTCTTCCTGGAACAAACACTGGCACTTACCCCTTAAAAGCCATCCTTTACACATTTCCTCTTCCAAACTCTAGAATAGCAACAACAACAACAATAATGATACCTAGCCTTTAGTAACGTATTATATGCTAGGCCCTATCCTAAGGATTTTTGGTGTATTTTACTATTAAATTCAAAAACACTAAGTTACATATGTACTGTATGTCCCCATTTCAGGAGGAGGAAACCAAGGCTTTGAGAAGTTTAGTCACTTTCCCAAAGAGATACAGTCACACATGGCAGTTTTCCAAATTACACATCAATGAAGAGTCAGCTCTGATCCTAAGTATTCAAGTCTCCTGCCAAACCAAGTTCACAGTGATCTCTCCTCCCTCTCAATTCCTATTGCATTTTTAGCATGTGCTACTTATTTTTGTGAATTCTTTTAAATGTGTGTGTGTGTGTGTGTGTGTGTGTGTGTGTGTGTGTTATCTCCTTAACTATATGGGAGGCTTCTTGAGAATGGGGAATCTTAGTATCAAATATGTATGCTTGTGTATAAAAGGCCATCAGCAAATGATTATGGATGATGATGATGACTGACTTTCCACCGCAGAAGCCACATGGCATGCTGGGGCATAAGAGCGCTAGGAGGCGTTGGGGTCAGACCGTGTTCAAGGCTGGAGATAGTTGGGAAGAGTCTGAGGACTGTGATTTCGGAGCCTCCGATTCCAAGAAGCCAAGCATGAGAATTTTCAAAGAAAAGACGAGAGAAGATTCTCCATTTCGGTAAGATGTCAGATTCCTCCCAAAAGTATATTTTTATCATGCACCAACCTTATTTTACTCCTTAAATATAAATAAATGTCGATATTAAAAGACAGTAAGTAGCTGAATGTTTTCTTCCACAAAACCTAAAACTGTGTGTCTAACTCTAAAAAGGTGAGAGTCTTGATTTCTCACAGTAAGGATTCTCAGTATTAATGGCTGAGTATTGCATGTATGTGGAAGGAGGGGTTCTTGGTAAATTTTTAGTGTGCCCTATTGAATTATGATCACCATTTTTTCCATTTGAAATTCACATACCTATCTGCAGAAAGCAAAGCACCATCTACAAAGTTAATGGTGTCCAGATTCAACTATTTTTTTGCTTGCTATTCTAATNTAGGCATTAAAACATCCATATTTTCAAGTTGGTCAAGTCTTAGGCCCTTCCTCACATCATCTGGAATCGAAACAGTCTTTAAATAAGCAGGTGCAGCCACTAGAATCAAAGCCATCTTTAGTTGATCTAGAACCTAAGGTTCTGCCGGACATAAAGGATCAGACTGCCGGCCAGCCCCAGCCGAAACACAGCCACCAGCCACTGCAGCCCATCCAGCCACCACAGGACACGGATGCCCAGCAAGAGCCAAAGCAGCAGAGCCAACAGAAACAGCCGCAAATACTGTTTCCCAGTATCGTCAAAAACATGCCAACCGTAAGTAGCCTGTGACGCATTAGACGCCATGGCTTGACTGGTTCAATTAGGATTTTGTTTTTAGGCATTCCTAAAAATGTCGAGCAAGATATAAAAGATTATTCTATGTTAAAACCTCTGCTTCCTATGGCAGGAGCTTGGCATGAGATAACTTGAAATTCTAAAACTGTCAGAATGAACATAATAAAGTTTGCATGCTACAGACTTTCTTTAACAGTTAAGTTACTTAGATGGTAAAGAAGAACTCAGAGAAGGAATTGAAAAGAATCTGAGACTAAAGAGAGCTAGCTGACCCTAAATCTTAAGGATTTTAATAGTAATTTTATACTGCTTTTTAGTGTTAACGAACATGAACAGAATGGGTTTTTAAAGTGCCAGACATAGTGTAAAACTTCCCCTCCCACTTCTGTGCAGCTCAGGGAGCTCGTCTGGTGCCTTATATTTTAGCTGTTTCCTTGGGATGTATATTCCCAAATGCATTAACCTATGGGCATTTTAAAACTGAAAGAGATCTTAAAGAACACTGTGTAATTCCTTATCCAGCCCTGCCCGCCAATGGCACTAATCACATTCTGACATACTATTAATGATTGTTTCTTACGTACACTGTTTAGTCTCTAGCTATTCCTACTAGAATGTAAACTCCATGAGGCCAGGGATGTTTGTCTGTTTTGTTTATGAATACAGACCCAGAACCAAGAACGGGGGTTGGCACATTATATATTCTCAACAAATATCTGTTGAATGAACGAATGCGTAATTGTTCACACTACTTTCGAACTACCTCCAGGGTCCTGAGGAATCTACGTCATCTTTGGGGCAATTCTGACTATTAGAAAGTTCTTTCTTATACTGAGCTAAAATCTAGTTTTCTGTAACTTTTAACAACAGTTAATCACTCTTCCAGAAAGGTGGCCTTTTAGGATTTGAAAATGGCCCATATATTATCTGCCCCTTTTTCTAGGAGAAATATCCCCAGTTCCCTTGCGTGCTCCACATGTAACATCATCCACCAATGACTAAGTAACAGTTCCTGTGCATGAAGGAGCCTTTCAGTCCCCTCCGCNGCAGGGGTACATAAAAGTTTTCCAACTGGTACGGAAAACAGATAGTTTGAAGGGAGTCATTTGCCAGATCTCAGCTTTCATATGGATTCTTTCCTAACACCGAACTGCCTGAGCAACTGTCTCTAGTCTCCTACTTCACAGAAGAAATGACTGGTCACTGTTTACTATGGCGTGTTTCCTATTTCCCCAAAATGCAAATAAAAATAACTGGGGTGCCACTGAAAGGGATCATTTGATATGTTGGTGTTAGTGTTAACAAAGTGATTGGGGAACAAATCCTTTTTAAGTCAAGTGGTTCTAGTTCTTAACTTTCTAAAAATTGAAGAACAACCTAATTGAGTTATTAGCTGATAATTCAAAATCACTTTTTATGAGATCACTATATGATTTTTGGTCTATAACTCTAATAGAGTTCGGACTATATGACCAAGCTGTAACAAAAACAGCTTTCATTCCCAACTATTTGTTTATATTAACGAGGTTTCTCAGTGCTTCCATCTCCAAAAATGGGTGGGGGTGGAGGGGGTGGAAGGAACAGAATTGATGTTGAACCTGTCTGATTTTAGCAATAAATAATATTTATTTGTGGATACATGAGCTACTTGAAAAAGTTCCCATCTTTCTTGTTAATAGATGAATTTCCCCCCAAAATTACTTTTCATGTTTAGTAATCAAAATTTAAATATTCATCTTTTTTTTATTAATTATATACAATGAATCATTGTAAATATCACTAGTTTAATCCAGAAAAGAATATTTTAATATGTTTATGGTTACAAGAAGTTTTTTCAAAGGTTTCAATTTATATATATTTTGAGTGTGTTGACCAATTTAAAGACTTTTAAGCCTAAAATTATTATTTGGATAAAATTTGGGAGTTAACTTATGAATGAATGTAAAATTTTAGAGAGAAAAAGGATTGTTGTAAAATTTCCAACTGTTACAAATAAAACCTGTTCATGTATTTCTTAAGTCAGTATTGATGGGCACAAAATCACTATGATATTTAGATTCCATTGGTTATATTTAAAGAACAGATGTAATAGTTTTATTTTTAAATGTCTATAATTATAAGATGNGAACTGCAGCCCTGCTGCTCAGAGCTGGCGCTCCCAAGCGAGCTCTTAACCAGCTGAGTCACTCAGCCGGCCCAGTTGTCTTTTTTTCAGTTAAAAAATATAGATGTATAGCAAGACATCCATATTTATACTTGTATTCATACTCAGTAGACATTTACCTAGTTGGTGTTAATTAAAGATATGAACATGGAATAGTCTGTCTTCTAGCCATCAATGTTTAGCAGCAGAAACCAGACCTCCAATAACGATAACACAAGATGGAGTGTGTATTGAGTGCCACTAATGAAGGAGCTGTAGGGAGCGCTAAGAGTTCTGTTTATGGGCAGACTACTTTGAGGAGGAGAGGAAAGTCTTTTTTAGAGTAAGTGGTTTTGAAAATGGGTAGAATTTCAGCAGTTGGTATCATTACAATGGGCCGAGGGGAAGAGAAAGAAGCCATAAATGGGTGGAGCTCTTTCTAATGAAGGGGGCTTACCTGTGTCTGGGGCAGGGGTCGCCAGCAGTTCAAAGGGCCACGCGAGTCAGTGCGAGCCTCCGTGGGGGTCCTAACACCCTTCCTGATTATGTGTTACTGTAGTAGACAAGTGATGATGGCTTTGATGGTCTCCCCTTGCCACATACCGTCTTCCCACATCATAAATCCACAACTGCAGCAGTCGTAGGAAAGATAGAAACACAGTATACACAGTCTATTTGCTGCTCAGTTATAAAGCTTTCTGTCACGTAATGTCTAGTATTAGAAATGGTTCTATGCACTGCCTAATATTCATTGGGGCAAGCATTGTCATTTAGTGTTTCTATCCGCAAAAGGACTCATGGAAGTGAGGTCACCTTGCCAGATTGAAAAGATGTGCAGAAGGCGGGTGAGAACACCCACCAGTAGCTGTCATCTTCTGATTTTTCACACTGAATGCTACTTTGTGTTCACTTTCAAGGCTTCCAGAATCAGTGCTGTCACACTCCAACCACTCTACAGGGGAAAACAAGAGCTTACCTGCTGCTATCTCCCTAAAATCTGATTCCGAATTGTCAACTGCTTCAACAGCTAAACAGTACTACTTGAAACAATCAAGATACCTTCCAGGTAAGCTGAGAAAATAACATGTTTACTGCTAACTAGAATATAGATAAGCCAAGCTCAAGTATTTTGGAATCTGCAGAAAGGGTGTCCGTGAAATAAAATGTATAATCACGGTGCTGTTTGCTGGCTCAGCCTTGTCAGTGTTTGTCACCAAGGAGTTTTCTGGGCCTCCTTGCCTCTGTGACGTCTGCTCAAGAAATGCCTAGAGGCCAAAAATCAAGATGAAGAGTGTGCTTCAAAAAATACCACCCTCCCTCCCCAAAGCTATGCCTTCAGGAAATGCTAAATTATATTGAAACAATTCTGCACCCCCATACAACTTTTTATAAAATGTAGAATTTTAGACTGCTTCCTGAATGATCTGATCTGTGTTTTTGAAGGATCATTTGGGCTGCTGGGTGGAGCTCGCTAGGGGCTCTCCATGAACTTCTGTTCTAGTGGAGAGAGAGAATGGGAGCAGGTAGTGCTAAGTGCTATTGTGAAAACAGGGAGATGAGCTGGAGTCGGACTGCTGGGGGGCGAGGAGAACACACTCTTCCATTTTCTAACATTTGAGCTGACACAAGAAAGATGAGAAGAAGGCAGTCATGTAAGGAGCTGAGAAAAGATGTTTCAGGCAGAAGTGGGAAAGGCACTGGCTGATCTGAGATCACCTGCGGAGAGATTGTGAGTGGGTGCAGGGGAGGAGGAGGAGCTAAGAAATATGGGGGAAGCAGCTGGGTAGATGAGGGGAACCCACAAAAAGGTGGTTTCCGAAGGCTGAGAAGGGAGAGTTTACCTGAAAAAGTTGTTTGCTGCTGAGCAGTTGGATAGGAATGGACAGTGGAGAGGTCCCTGGTGAGTTTCAGTCTGGAATGGGGAGGGTGTGGGTTGAAAAAGGATGAGAGATAAGAAATTAGCAACTGAAAATGCAGACAACTCTTTGGCACATGTGGCTGTGAAGAGGAGCTGAGAAATGGAGCCAATACCAGATTGCAGTTCGGGATGGGGAGGCACCTCCACAGTGGTGACTCTGGGACTTTGGGAGCAGATTTGCATGTGGATGGGAATGATCATTTCCAGAGTTGATCATGCAGAAGAGGGGGTGAATGAATGAGGAACTGAAAGGCTTAGGAGGGTGAGAAGAGGTGGAGTTAAGGCCATAAGAGATGGCGTGTGCTTGTGAAAGGAGCAAAGGTACTTGCATTTTTACCTCTATTTAGATACCGGTAGGTTTGTCAATGTTGGTGTTGAAACCCTGATGGAGTTCTGATCTGACTGCAAAAGCAGGGTTATAAGAAAGTTAGCAGAATACATTCATAGAGGCCACTTTTTCCTGTTTTGTTTTTAAATCGAGTACATTTCACTGATTGAAATGTAGCAACTCAGTAATTATCATACCTATAGAAGTGAGCCCTCTGGTGGTGGGAAAGACTAATGCAAATTTTTGTCAAGGGATAAATGGACCCAAAGCACCCTATTTTCATAGTTTGCTCCCTAATGTGGTTTTCAGAAATATATTTCAGGGTATCTGAGACCCATCTGATTGTTTCCTTTTTAGCCAGAAAGATCGTACAAATTCTGAAAATTACTTTGGGTCAAATGCATGGCCTGTAATTGAAATTTAAGAATTACTCATAGATTCAAAATTAGAAACAATCTAAACTGGAGCCTTATTGTTACCCTATTGACATTTTTTTTGTCTTGAAGATGGCCCCTCTAGAGCTGGGTAAGCTTTGGAAATAGAATTGAGTTCNCCATTTTTTCCATTTGAAATTCACATACCTATCTGCAGAAAGCAAAGCACCATCTACAAAGTTAATGGTGTCCAGATTCAACTATTTTTTTGCTTGCTATTCTAATCTCTTTTGATCATTCCCTGAATTTTTTTCTGGAATTTTAATATCTCTAGCAGTCCCTTTTCTTTTTATAAGTTGAATAATTATTCAACTTTGAAGTGAGGGTGGGTTAAATTTTGGTGAAGGCTTTGGAAAAATATTTTCTTTTTTCCTCTTTGGAACAGAGAGGGAAAGGGGTAAAGATGTGGCGTGAGTTAGGGAAATTTACCTGCTAGCTGTTTGGCACTGTATGGTGGAGAAGTCTTCACTTCGGGTACACATACCTCTGAAGGTACATGAAGACTCCTCGAAGGGGGACATATGCTTGGATAATTCTTGGATAGTTAATTTCCAGATCCTCAAGTTTCATAGGTACTCTTCCCTAAAATACATGAACTTGAGAATAAATGTGTTTAATCCCCCTCCCACTTTGCCAGAAAGTCACAGACCTCAGCCATTTCAAATCTTGCATGGCATGAGGGTGTGTGAGGACCTGTGAGGTGCTGAACAATGAGAGAGATCAGAACACTGACACCTTCAACTTAAAGGGCTTTCTGTCATCCCCTGTCTTGTACATATTTCTCTTTAGGGGAAAACCCCGCATTAGAAATAGGATATTTTGGTCTGTGTTGGAAAGCATGGAGATTCAGAAGCAAGGAAGCACCAGAGCCCAGTGACGCTTATTTTTTTAAATGTACTGTGAAACCATCCGATGTTTCAAAACCTACGGATATAAATTATATATAATTTTTTTGAAGATTCTGAGTGTTTTATGAAATAAAGTAGTTAAAGCTTATTTTATCAGGCGATACCATGAAATACTCTCATTACAGTCAATCTTCATATTTCATCGTATAAAATGTTTACTGTTTTCTCTGTTATTAACAAGAAATGATAAATAAAATTATTATGAAAAATTATAGATATCAACTTGAAGTTGTGTAGGAAACTACATAATTGTTTCTTAAAACAAAAAAAAATTCTTTGCATCTGGGAGCAAGAGAATCTAAAGACCACTGGTGCGGTATGCAGTTGACTTGAAACCCATTTTTNGAAAGACTCACCTCCAACAGTCCAGAACCATATGTTCCCTTGTACCGCCACAGATGACATTTTTCTTCTTGGAACACACATCAAATGTTGACTTATACTGAGATGGAAGGAAAGGAAGTAATATTTATTGAGTTAGCTACTAAGTGCCATGCACTATGCTAGGCCCCCTGTATGCATTTGCTAAGTTCAAATACCCCATAACCCAGCCCTAAATTATTAGATAGCTAATAAGTTCCAGAGTTGGGATTGAGCATTCTGTCAACTAAAATTCCTAGGCCTATTCTTCTACTAAATCACATATTCTGTAACTTTTTTTGTGTATTTGATCTCTAAGATTAAAAAAATTGTAAGATCTTACTTTTACCTCTCCTAAATTTTGAACCCTTATTTTCTTTTCTCAGTTAACCATTCTGCCCAGCTTGTTGACGGCTATGGATTTGTTTAGTTGCTCGTTTGTTTTTCTCTCTACTGTTACATTCATGATGAAGAGAATAGCAATGAGCCCTTGGGCAGACCACTAGAACCTTCTTCTAGATTGACCCTGATCCATTAATCAGTACTCTTGGTCAGATTATTGAATTATGTACTTGTCTAAGTCTGCTAGGGCTGCCATAAGAAAATATCATAGACTGGGTGGCTTAAACAATAGACATTTATTTTCTCACTGTTCTGGAGGCTGGGACGTCGAAGACCATGGCGCTAGCCAATTTGATTCCTGGAGAGGGTCCTCTTCCTGGTTTGCAGACAGCTCCTTCTCGCTCTGCCCTTACATAGCAGAGAGAGAAAGCAAGCTCTCTAAAGTCTCTTCTTATAAAGGCACTAATCCCATCATGAGGGCCTCACACTCATCTAATCCCCAGTCACCTCCCAAAGGCCCCATCTCCAAATACCATAACATTGGAGTTGGGGTATAAATTTTGGGGGAATATAAATTTCAACATATAACTTTGGTGGTGGACATAAGCATCCACTTTTGTTGTCCTTTCATTACTTCATTTCACTGATAGAATGAAAGACCCTGTCACCTATTTTGCTGAAGTACAAGTAGACTACGTGTATTCATTGTTTGTTTTTTATGANCTTCTTTGATAATTCTGGGCAAGATTCTTTGAATCTTTTGTTGAATTTTCTTCTCAACATTTACCTTTGTCATAAAAAGCCACTATGTAGTCCAAAGTCACCTGCTTTTAGGACGGATCTGGCCTAGGAGAGATAGACGCACTCCACATCATCAAAACATCTTTGTTCAGTAGTTGGGATTCTAAGACAAATGTGCTCTCAGAAGCTCTATGCGCATCTTCTTTCATTATGACAATTTATACAAATCAAGTAAATCTACTCAAAAGGATATTATCTAATTTTATAATCAGTATTCCTGGGATTTTTTTTTAGTTCTGAAGCTTATTTCTTAAGCATGAACAATCATTTAAAAGGAAAGGTTGACCAGGCTAATAGAGATGGTAGATTACCTAGAGGTTTGGTGTTGGTTTAAACAGTGCTGACTATTGGTTCCAACCTAAAAATCTGCAGCTCACAACGTACTCCTAATGATAGGGCGAAATACTAAGACTTCATTTTCTATGCATTTTTCCTTAGCAACTTCTTCTTCCGTAGGAAGAAGCCTCACAGAACTGTTCAGTGCATGGCTTTTAGAGTCTGACATATCCTCCTTCTGTCACTCACTCGCCTTGTGATTTGGGAAGAGTTACTTAGTCTCCCCAAGTCAGTGTTCCCGTCTATAAAATGGAGAAAATAATATTTACCTGGGTGTTACTATATAACCATACCTAGAATGTCTGTCGCACAGTGAGCATTTAATAAGTGTTTGCTCTGATGATAAGGACAAGAGCAAGAGATGTTCTGAAGTTGACACTGAATGTGATCCTGCCTTAACTTCTTTCAAAGTCTTTGAAGTAAAGGGCTGATTAGTGATTTACAGTGAGTACTGGAGATAAAAGAAAGGTCAAATTAGTTAGCTGTGCTTATGCAAAATTCAGTAGTGTTAAAAGTTGTATAAACTGGTAACATATGTTTAATCCTTTAGGGTCTGATAAATAATATTGCTGTTTGACATTTATTGGTTCAAGAGCAAACGCTTATTGAGAGCCTACTCTGCATAGCACCATGATCAGGGATCACGACTTGTGAACAAATAACACTGTGTAAGAAACGCTTCAATTGCAGCTGCCAAGTGAACAGTTCTTTGAGGCCACCAAGGTGATCAGAGCCGTTTCACCTTCTCGCAGACAGATTGTCTTCTTCCTGGTGTAGCTAGGCTCCCGGAAAGAACAGTTCTATTGACTTTTCTTCGTATTACCAGGTTGCTCCTTAACACACTCCAGTTTACCCTCAGGCCGCTGAAACAGCTCCTGCTCGGCGCTGACAGTATCCTGTGGCTGCATCCAGTGGGCAGCGCAAATCCCACCAGGCCTCTGCCTCATTTGCTCTTCCCTCTTTGTTCACACGTTTTCATCTCTTGAATGTTCATCCCCTGTTCTTCTTACCATCTACCTTGCTATTCTCTTTCCTCCACTGGGTCCTTTCTTTGTCCCTAATGTTGGTGTTCCCTGGGGTTCTGTTCTGGGTCTTTGCACATTTTGCAATCCCTGTGAGATGACTCCTCCATGCCCTGTAATCGCCACACCCTGATAATCCCAAACCTCGAGGCCCACTCCACCTCTGTGACTTGAATATCCCACAGGCACCGAATCTTCCCCCAATCCTGATTCTCCTCCCCTACTGTTGTCCTCAATCACGTCACCTTCAAAGTTAGGGATTTATATTCCTCTTTCTTTACCCCTCCCTCCCCGTATACCCACTTGGTTCCCTTCTGCTCCACGCCCTCTGTGACTGTCTTTGTTCAAACCCTCATGATCTCTCATTTCAGCTCCAGCAGTGACCTCCTGGCTGGGCTCCTGCCTTTAGACAGCCTATCCCTGTATTGCCCCCTAGACTCACTGACAATGAGGAGGAGGAGGATGACAGTTGACATTTGCTGAACACCAGATTCTACGCTAAGCGCTTTGCATGTATCTCATTCAGTCCCTACAACAACCCCGTGAGAACAGGTGCACTTAGTACAGTGATTTTACAAAACAAAGAAGAGCAGAGAGCACCGCAGGGGTGGGGCTTCCTGGAAGGAAAGACACTCTCATGTTAAGAATTCGAGTCGTAAACACCTAATATGTTCAGAGTGAACTCAGCCATGGGTTCCAGTTCTAGCTCAGCCGCTTACTAACTATGAGAACTTAGGCAAGTTCTAAGAGCCACAGGTGTGGGTAATAATATACATCTAAGAGGGCTGTTACATGGACTGAAGAGGAGTAGCTATAAAACCATAGTGCTGCGCCTGAAATATTGTAGATCAGCGGTTCTCAACCTTTGGGTTGCGACCCCTTTGAGGGTTGAACGACCCTTTCACAGGGGTCGCCGGGTACTGGTATGTGGGCGTATCTGCATGTGGGCCTGGAGACGGATAGAGGAGCGGTGTCTCGGTTCCTAAGACCATTGAAAATATGTGTTTTCCGATGGCCTTAGGTGACCCCTGTGAAAGGTTGAGAACCACTGTCGTAGATGCTCAAAAAATAGACTTTAGAATCAGTAGGGGTAGTATTCAAAGTTACTTTACTCTCTGGTGCTTTAAAACATTCATCTTCTGACAATGAAACTTGATCATACGTCTCTAGGAAATCTTGGAAGTTATGCTACTTACAATCCATCAGGATATATTCCTTCCTTTCTCAAAAAAGAAGTGGAGTCAGCTGGCCAGAGGATACACTTAGCACCTCTCGGTCCAACCGCTTCAGGTAAGAACAACTTAAAAGTTTTTGAGAATTCTGATCAGAAAGAAACTTTTCAGCTTCCACAGTCACTTTCCCCCAGTGAACACTTTTAAATTAGTCTCATCTTATTAGCAATAGTTCTAATTGTTTTGGCAAAATATCCTGTTTTCTTTCCAAAGATGTGGTTTGAGAGTCCAGTTGTTATAAGAAGAGCTACCTCTAATTAAGTGTTTGTTCTCTGCCAGACACACGGATTATGCCTGTTAATCTTCACAAACGACCAGTGAGGTAGACCTCTTTTACAGAGGAGGGAACTGACACGAAGTAATTTACCTGAGGTCACATAGCTAGTAAATGGTGGAGCCAGGATTGAAACTCAGGTTGTCTAATTCCAAAGAATGAGCATCACAAGATGTGAGAAGTTGCATTTTTCAGAGCTTCCCACCTAGTACCTGGCACAGAATGAAAGCTTACTAAATGCTGAGACTCTGTTCTGTATCCATTAGCAGGCGGTTCCCCTATAGATCTGTTTTAGAGCATAGAACTAAACGGGCAGAACTTTCACTGGCTTGGCTTGGCTGGTATTAGGCGGGGACACTCCCCCACCCTCCAAGGTTATGACCTAGCCGCCTGTTCTGCAGTGGCGTGGCGTGTGACAGCCACACTCAAGGGTACGCTCTTGAAATTCAGGGTGGCGATTCTGTACTTGAGATGACCAGATGTGATTATGAATGTTCTCTAAATGACTATGATCTTATTAAAGCACCTAAAATAAACATTAAGGCAGATAATCAGAAGTTTGATAAGACAGCTAGTTGTAATTTAATTTAAAAGTTGACTCCAAAAGTATTCTCACAGCCTATCCTAACCAGGATCTTATATTAAAACTCCTGATTAGGGTTGCAGATCTTTCAAGTTCACACTGTTGGAGATAAAATTATAAAAAGCACTGGACTTCTGTAATTTTCTATTTCTTACCACGGTAGAGCTGCTTAAACAGTACTCAGTTACCTTATCTGCAAAAAAAATTGCTTCAGAGGCCGGCCAAGTGGCTCAGTTGGTTAAGAGTGCGAGCTCTGAGCAACAGGGACGCCGGTTCGATTCCCACATGGGCCAGTGAGCTGCGCTGGAGCTGAGCTGTCGCTGAGCTGCCAACATGTGGCAGGATGGCTCAGCTGGTGAGAGCACATGCTCCTAACAACAAGGTTGCCGGTTCGACTCCCGCATGGGATGGTGGGCTACGCCCACTCGCAACTAAGATTGAACACCGCACCTTGAGCTGAGCGACCTGGATTGTGACTGGACTTGGAGCTGAGCTTGCTGCGCCCTCCACAACTAAGATTGAAGGACAACAATTTGGCTGTTCCCCTTCCCCAATTCCCCAATACTGTGCCCCTTCCCCAATTCCCCAATTAAAAAAAAAATTGTTAGGGCCGGCCGAGTGGCTCAGTTGGTTAAGAGCTCACTCAAGAGCACGAGCTCTGAGCAACAGAGTCACCGGTTCGATTCTCGGTCCGAGCTGAGCTTCTGCTGAGCTGCCAAGAGGTGGCAGGATGGCTCAGCTATTTAAAAAAAAAAAATTGCTTCATTATCTCTGCTGAAACAAAATACATAAACATTTTCTATGCAGCAATCATTTTTATAAAGCCTCAAATATTTTAAGCCAGCTTTACAATGCATTGTTAGCCATGGCTTAGTAGCAGTATTTTAATATAAAAGCAGAAAACCATAATGTTTCAAGTTATTTTTTTTTATCTGAGTACCTGCTCTGAGAAAGTGAAAGTGGGTATTTTTAAACATAGTTTTATAAGATATTAAAGACCTTTATATATTAATTAACCTGTCAGATTAGCATGCATATTCCTGGTTTCATTTTTAAAGTAAATGCTTTCTCATAACTTTTCATCTCCTCATTTACTCTGCTTATCAGATTTTCCTACAGGTGGTGATAGGAGGAAAGGTAAAAAAAGAAGTAAATATTAATCATTCTCAAGTGGTCAATGAAAATCCTTAGGAAAACACTGTTCTGTAAGAGATGGGTCTTACAGCCCTCCCACTTGTGAGTTTCCCACAAGAAAATAAAACCAGGTCATTACCATATTTACTCAACTATTTCCCCTCCTCTCATTGTCTCACTCTCTGTTGTTTTTCCTCCTCACCCTCAAGTTTTGAGAACCAACATCAGATTAATGTCCTCTCCCCTCTGCCTGTAATCTGTCATCCCAATCTTCTCGTACCTTCTCGTCACCTGCTTGGACAGTAACGAGGACTCTGAGGAAGGACTTCTGTCATACACAGCTGCCCTTCGGGGGCCCAGTTCTCAGAGCTCTACAGACCTTAACTCAGTCCTCCCAATGACTCCATTATGATCTCCATTTTACAATTTGTTTTTTAATCTTGTAAAAGTTATACAGTAGTGGCACTGATTAATTCTTAACTAGAGGCAAACACCTTTTCCTTTAGAAAACATTCTCAATGGGAAGTGAAGTGCCCTTTATAGGAGACATGCCATTTTTACAGTAAATGCACAGCCAGTCATACAGAGCTGACGGCCACCCCAAGAGTGCTGAGGTGCAGGGCCTGGTACAGCTGAGACACAGAAGCACTCTTTGCCCTGCCATGAGCTCTGGGCTCCCCTGTCAGCGACTAGGTTCTGGACCAACGGCGCCTGAGTCCTCAAACTATTATTTCTCAGAAAGGAATCCTAAATGTCAACATAATCGCCTTCTTGGCAAAATGATTCATTGTTCAAAGGTTTTACAAATCTTGGTCTGGACAGTTTCGTTCAAATACATTTAGGACCCAACTCAGGCTATGTCACGACCTGGGGAAAAGCTTCCATTTTTTACTACTCAAGCCCCTCGCTTCCACCCAGTGGCAGCTTAAGCAAGTGTTTCCTTTCCTTTCTCGGAGTCAGCAGGGCTTATTGCCTCTCTCCCTCCTCCCTCCACTCCCATCCCCTCTTCTGCCCGTGGTACCATTTTGACCTGCGGACCACATGTGTGAGCTCACTAATGGAACAGACTGATGCCTGTCTGTGTCCAGCGGGTCAGAACTAAAGGACTCTTCATGGAAAACACGGTGCACTTCACTGGCCCATCTGGATACTCTGTCCCTGCCTTTGTTAGGTTTTCATGGGCTTCACCTTTGAGAATTTAAAACCAGTAAGGGTGGGATGAAATGACCTGTCAAACCACCAAGGGTACAGCTCTTGGCCTTCCTGTCCCAACCAAACTACATAGCAGACACGGTGACTGTCACTGGAGTGGTTCCTCACTTCAGGCTCTGCTCCCTATAAACTGAGGTTAGCAGCACATCAGGACCTGTCATTTCCTCTTTACACTCCCAATTTTACAGTGAAAAGTATAAAGCAAAACCAGGGAAACCACACAAGTAAATAACGTATAGCTATTTATATTAGGTCCACAAGAGGGTCACACTCATTTCGAAATTGACTCAGAGTTTAAGCCAAGAGTGACAGCTTAAAAAGATATTTATCCCAAATGGAAAGATCAACCATCCTTCCTCAGGTAGAATACCTGATACCTAGCTCTCAGTATGAAGTGAGGAGGGACAGAAGATATTCAAGTTCTTTGTAAAATGACTTTCTACTTTGTCACTTGAGATGTTCAAGCAACTTTAACATAAATTATTCAGATATAACAATTAAAAATTTCACCAAATTTTAATCAGCCAAATGTATGAATAAAACAAACCTTGTGATGAAAGGTTTGGCACTCTAGGAATGGCTCACCTTTTAGAGGGATTCTGTTATCCTCCATCCTTTTTCCGATAAAAAACTTCTTGACTCTAAAAATCACATTTTAATGTTTAAAAAGAAATCTATTATGTAGCTCTATGAAGTCAGAGATTTACAGGATTCACAATTTTAAATACATTTTCTGTAGTTAACAGTGCTTGAATATTATTTAGATGTAACCACAATGTAATTTTATAATCACTAACACTGTGCGTATTGCCCATTGAACCTGAACTTGGTCATCCTAGTTGGGTGTTGCCTCCCTAAATGTTATGGGCAGTTCAGTGAACCCAAATAAGAAAGAGCAGCAGTGTGAGAACTGTAAACCAGAAATAATGGCTCTGAAGCTACTGAAAATTCTAATTCTTGTCAACAAAATACTACACAAGAATTTCTAGTTTTAATATTAAAAAAAAAAACTTAGAGACCACTGAATTAATCTTTTAAAGATAAATTCAAATTTTCCCCATGAGAGGATGAATTGCTTTATTTTGAATTTAATTATCAAATAAATTCAATTGCTGACTCTGATTTCTTTCAGAAAACACCTGGAACACAAAACCTGGTCGGGGACAGTTTTCAGGACCTACTTACACTCCGACAGCCAAGAAGCTAAACCTTGTGCGTCGTGCACAGCCGGTCCCCTCAGTGCACGGGAGGACGGACTGGGTGGCCAAGTACGGAGGCCACCGGTAGGAGGCTGGAGTGAAGCCCTGTCGCACTGCTCCACAGTCCCCGACCCTGGGAAATGTCCACAGATGTCTGCTTCCACTGAGTTCTGCCAAAACTATGCAATAGTGAGCACTTTGAAGATGAAACCATCTCCTATTTTCTTTCCTGGAAGTACATTTTCTTAGCATTGTTGCCCACAGTGCTTGTATATGGGTAGGACTTGACAAAGTATTGAATAAACTATTTGCCAAAGTATCAAGTATTTGATATACAAATTAATAGATACTAAGTAGACTAAGAAGCTTTTTTTTTAAAATGCCCCCAGAAAGAGTTTCGAGTGTTTTAGTTTTCACTTGTTGTATATTTACCTAAATTACTTGATATTTCCTCATTGGGCCTCAGAGGTTTGTTCTATTTGGGTTTTTTATAGCAATTAGGTAGACCACATGTTGTGGGCTGTCAGTTATAGTTCTTATGTGGCCAAGGCTCCACTCTACCACTTTGGCAATGGTGGAAAAATGGTAATTTATCATTTATTTTTCTACTTTGAAATTACAGAAGCAATAGTAATGCCAATCTTTAGCAGGATGTCTTAGAAATAAATTTATTGTTAACATAATTTCAAAATTATGCCACCTAATTTTAGTGGAAAGAGTCTTTAGTGGAAAGAGTGTTTAATTTGAACCGGTACAACTGCTATGAATTTACGGTAACTGTCAAACCCAAAGGTGTGATGACTCCCAATGAATCAAGTCAAGGTTCTCTGTCTTCACATCAAGAAAGTTCTTGAAACTGTGATGTGTGTTCATCAGACTTTCAAAGTACATTTGTTTCCGTGTTCCTACCAGACATGAGGGTAGGTGTGTCGGCTGGCCCCCCAGAGCAGACTTGCTGCAGAGCAGACTCAGCTCTGACCTGCACACCTGCTCGGAAGAGCAGACCCATGCAGCTGCTGCACATTGATTTCACTTAGCACACTTTGTTTCTAAGTTGGTATTTAAAATGGACATTTTGAACTTATGACTACTCTGTTTAAACCTGCCATTTGGACCGGACATGAGTACTGTACATTCTTTTTAAAGACTAATGTTATCAACTGCTGATATTGTATGTATTTTATGACAGTAACAAATTCTAATGTAATTGGTGTCATCTTGTAAACATTATTCAAATGCACATTATAATAATAATATGGTATTTTTGTACGGAAGATTCAGCTCATCTTGTTGAAAAATGTTAAAATCTAAAGAATATGTGGGTGGTGATGGTTATATATGTTTGTACAGTTTTAATTACTGTCTCAAAGCTAAAAAATTCTTTTGTTCCTGGGATTTTTAAACTCTAGTTATTAAAATTAATATGGTTACCCACTGTGTTTTCTTTATAGTTTTAAACTTTATACTTATACTTTGAGGCCTAGTTATTGTCTTAGTTAGCTTTCTCTTTTTCTGTTTTTTTAACCAGTTTTAGATTTATAGAAAAATTGATTGGAAAGTACAGCGTTCCATATATTTCCTCATCTCCCCCTATTATTAATTTTCCCTATTAACATCTTGCATTAGTGCAAGACATTTGTTGTAACTGATGAACCAATATCGATACTTTATTGACTAAAGCCCATAGTTTACATTAAGGTTCACGCTTGGTGTACGTTCTGTGGGTTTTGAGAAAATGTATGACATGTATCCACCATTACAGCATCACACAGAATAACTTCTCTGCCCTACAAGTCCCCAGTGCTCTACACATTCATCCCTCCCTCCCTCTCTCCCACCAAACCTCTGGCAACCACCAATCATTTTGTCGCCATGGTGTCTCCTTTTGCACAATGTCATATAGTTGGAATCATGCACTATATAGCCTTTTCAGATTGGCTCCTTTCACTTAGTAATATAAATTTACATTTCCTCCATGTCTATTCTTGGCTTGATATCGCAAATCTGTTTATCACTAAATAATATTCCAGTGTCTATATGTACCAGAGTTTGTTTAGCCATTCACCTACTGGAGGACATCCTGGTTGTTTCCAACTTTGAGCAATTATGAATAAAGCTGCTATAAACATTCATGGGCATGTTTTTGTGCAGACATCAGTTTTCACCTCATTTGGGTAAATTCCAAGGAGATAATTGCTGGATCATATGGTAGGAGTTATGTGTAGTTTTGTAAGAAAGAGCCAAACTGTCTTTCAAAGTGACTACACCATTTTGCATCCTCACCAGCAATGAATGAGAGCTCTTGTTACGCCATATTCTCACCAGCACGTTTTAGATTTTGGCCATTCTAATAAATCATAGTGGTATCACATTTTTAATTTGCAATTCCCCAGTGGCATATGATGTAGAGCATCTTTATATATACTTATCTGCCATCTGTATATCTCCTTTGTAGAACTGTCTATTCAAATCTGTTACCCATTTATAAATTAGATTGTTTTCGTATTGTTGAGTTTTAAGTTCTTTGTATATTTTGGATAGTAGACCTTTTTCAGGTATGTCTTTTGCAGATATTTCCTCCCAGTCCATTACTTGCCTTTTCATTTTTTTAACAGTGTCTTGCAGAGCAGAAGTTTTTAATTTTAATGAAGTCCAACTTATCAGTTTTTTATTTCATAGATCATGCTTTTGGCATGCCTAAAAAGTTATCACCAAACTCAAGATCACCTGTGGTTTTTCTCCTCTGTTATCTTCTAGGAGTTTTATAGTTTTGCATTTCACATTTAGATCTATGATCCATTTGGGGTTAATTTTTGTGAAAGATGTCTTTCTAGATTTTTTCATGTTGATGTTGTTCCAGCATCATTTGTTGAAAAAGACTCCTTTCTCCATTGAACTGCCTTTGCTGCTTTGTCAAAGATGCACACTATATTTGTATGGTTCTATTTCTGGGCTCTCTTTCTGTTCCATTATGTGTCTGCTTTTTCACCAGTATCACACTGTCTTGATTACTATAGCTTTATAGAAGTTTTGGTGTCAGGTAATGTGAGTCCTCCAACTCTGTTTCTCTCCTTCAGTATTGTGTTAGTTATTTTGGATCTTTACTGTTCCACATAAACTAGAATCAGTTTGTCAATATCCAAAAAATTACTGGGATTTTGATTGGGATTGCACTGAATCTAGATCAAGCTGGGTCGACACCTTGACAATAATATTGAGTCTTCCTATCCATGTACATGGACTATCTCCATTTACTTACATCTTCTTTGACTTCATCAGCATTTTGTCATTTTCCTCATATAATCTTATACATATTTGTTAGATTTATACCTGTTCCTTTTTAGTGCTAATGTAAATGGTATTATACTTTTAACTTAAAATTTTAATTGTTCATAGCTTGTATGTAAGAAAATGACTTTCCTATATTGACTATCGGAACCTGCCGATATGTCAAACAGTCCTGAGGGGGGGCGCGAGGATTAAGAAAAGAGACAGAAGTGAGAGTTACCGGGAGGACTCCAGTAAATACTGAAGCCCCGAGTTTATTTTCCACCACCATTATATACATCCAGGGTGAGTACAAAAAAGGGACAAATATGCATTACCTCATTCCAGAGTAATTCATTGATAATCCACTTAGAAATTTAAAGGTCAGTGGAGACAATTTCTTCCATAATCCCAGATAGCCATCTATCTCTATTGTGTCTCCCAAGGCACTGGCCATTCTCTCCACATACCTCGAGATTAACCAAAACACCCTCCAGGTGCAAGTAAAACAAGATATGCAATCAGTAAAGTCGGCCTGCATGGCTCCCAACAATTGACTTTGATTCCTAATACCTGTTATAATCACTTATTAAATCAAGGAGTTTGTTGATCCTTTTAAGATTGTTCTACTTAGACAATCATTTCATCTACAAACAAAACTTTATTTCTGCCTTCCCTCTGAGTATACCTTTTATTTCCTTTTCTTGTCTTTTTGCACTAGCTGGGACTTCCAGTACAATTTGAATAGAAGTGGTAAGAGTGAACATTCCTGCCTTGTTTCTGATCTTAGCAGTAAATATCTAGTTTCTCCCCGTTAAGTATGATGTTAGCTGTAGGTTTTTGGTAGATGTTCTTTATCAAGTTGAGGAAATTCCTCCTTATTCATTTGCTGGGAGTTGTTTTGAATGAGTGTTTGATTCTGTCCAACTTTTCTCTGCATCTATTAGTATGATCATTGATCATACAATTTTTGTTTTTTAGCCTCTTTTGATAAATTAATGGATTTTCAAATGCTGAACCAGTTTTGTATACCTGGGATAAATCCCACTTGGTATGTAATTCTTTCCATACATTGTTGTATTTGACTTGCTAATATTTTGTTGAGGGTTTTTCATCTATGTTCATATACATATACATACATACACACACATATATATACACACATATGAGAAAGACAAAAAGAGCAAGCATGGGTGCTTAATGTTAACAATTTGCGAATTGGAGAAACTAGGTAAAGGGTATGTGGGTGCTTATGAGTATTACTGAAACTTCTATAGATTTGAAATTTTTCAAAATAAAATGTTAAAGCAACATAAATATATGAGTAAAAGAGTTATCATAAATATAAGAAACTTATATAACTACAGAATAGGTTTTTCTAAAAAAGCAGATTAAGAGACCTAAAATAAATGAGTATATGACTAACAGAGGAAACAAAGTTAATCCAATGTACATACCACATAGAACTTCTACCAATAAGGGAAAATATACACTTTTCTCAAATACACATAACATGCACAAAAAATTTATATTACGCCAAGAAGAAAATCTCAAATTCTCAAATGTAGAAATGTATTGCCACTTCTTTCCACAGTGTAATAAAACTACAATATAACAATAAAAGTTATGCCCCCAAAACCTATCCACTTAAAAATTCCAAACTACTGTTCTAAACACTTAAAAGTCAAAAGGAAAAATAAAAAATGAAAGACACCCTTTAGAAACAAACAATGATAGGCTCTGTATTAAAACTTGTAAAATTCAGCCAAAATAGATCTCAGAAAAGAAATTTATGAAAAAAAACAAGGAACATTGAAATGTGCTGAATTTAAACATTTAGCTTAGAAAACTAGAAAAAACAGTTAAATTAAAAAACAAAAAGAAATTAAAGATAAAATAATGACATAAAAGATTTCACCCCAGGGCCAGCCGAGTGGCTCAGTTGGTTAAGAGCTCACTCAAGAGTTTGAGCTCTGAGCAACAGGGTCCC